GGTTATGGGCGTGGTTGTTGTTGTCGTTGTTGCTGGTGCTGCTGTTGAACTCTCGTTCTTGAAAAATCATTATTATCGATCCCCCCCAGCCGGTGCGCATTGTATTTTTCGAATTGAAATGCCCCCCTCGGGGTTCGCCCTGGTTTTTAATCTGGGGGGGACGGTGTTGGTGGGGACAGTGGTGAGGGGACAGCGGGACAGTGGTGGGGACAGTGGGGGGACAGTGGGACAGTGGTGGGGACGGTAGTGGTGGGGACAGTGGTGGGGACAATGGTGGGAACAGGGGGGACAGTGGACAGTGGTGGGAACGGTGGTGGTGGGGACAGTGGTGTGGGGACAGTGGGAATGAGGTGGAAACACTGGGACAGTGGAGGGTACAATGGTGGTGGGGACACTGGTAAAGGCGGTGGCGAGGACGGCGGTGGGACAATGGGACAGAGGTACAGTGGGGACAGTGGTGGGGACAGTGGGGACAGTGGTGGAAACAGTGGGACAGCTCAGTGGGACAGCGGAGGAGTCAGTGGGGACAGTGGGGTGGGGATAGGCAGTGGTTGGGTCCGTGGAGACAGTGGGGAGAGTGGAACCGTGGTGGGAACAGTTGTGGGAACAGTGGGGACAGTGCGACAGTGGTGGGGGCATTGGTGGGGACAATAGGGACGGTGGTGGAACCAGTGGGGACAGTGGTGGTGAGGACAGTGGTGCTGGGAACAACAGTGGGGGATGTGATGCGAGCGGTGGTAGGGACCGGGAGTCGTTTGCTGGCGGTGCGGTGCGTGGGGGGGGGGTCGAACCGGTAGTGACCCCCCTCCGGTTTTCGAGGGGGGGGGGGGTTCCAACCGGTAGTGACCCCCCCCGGTTTTCCGGATCCGGAGGGGGGGGGGTGGGGGGGAGGTTCGAACCGGTAGTGACCCCCCCCCGGTTTTCGAGGGGGGAGGGGGGGGGGGGGGGGGGTTAGGGGAGGGGGGGGTTTTGCCGGGAGGGAGGGGGGGGGGGGGGGGAGGGGTTCCAGCAGGGGGGGGGGATTTTCGGAGGGGGGGGGGGGGGACCCCCGGGTTCCAGAGGCAAAGGTTGGCAATTTTCCACAGTAAAGCGGCGGTGGATCACGCTCTCTCCTTCCTGCTCAAACTGCGTTTTTGGGCGCCGAACTACAGCAACAACGGCTCCCGCCTGATACGTGCACACAAGTTATTCTACCATCGCGCTCTCGCGCGGGCTTTCCTCACAATGCATACAGGTATCGCCCTCTCGCGTTGGACTTCTTCGCAATTCATTCAGTCGCCGCGCCCTCCGCACTCAGGAATTACGCTCTCGCTCTGGCGTTCGCTATCGCCCGAGACTTCCTCGCGATTCATGCAGGATTCACGCCTCAGCAACCCGCCTGCTCGACCTCGCCGCCTGGGTCCGCCTTCCCGGCCCGCCCGCTACGGTCTGTCCGCCCGATCTGCCCGTCTGGTCCTGCCACGTGCTTTCGACTTCCAGCCCCCATCCTGCTAGTTTCTCTCATGTTCCATCCTTCTCCCTCCCCCTTCCATCCGTCCTGAGCTGCACTAAATGCGTGTGGCAGGTAAGGAAGATATACTCCCAGGTAGGTACGATCGAAGACGAAGAGGGCGGGTACCGAGGGTTTGAGATATACGTGTTGCATGGCACGCGAGCAGATAGGAGCGAGCAGTCTTAAACTGATTGTTGTTGCTGTTGCTTTCGTTGTTGTTGATGAATTCTGGCTGAGCCGAGCTGGCCACCCAGAGCTTGACGCTCTGCAGTTCGCGCCAGACTGCGTGCTGGTCCAGGACGTCTCTGACACGACGAAGGAGGTTCGCTCGCATTGTGCTTCCCATGCCCAGGCAGCGTTGCCAGTAAGCGCCGCAAGTGCGGCGGAGGCTGAGTCAGTCGGCCAAGGGGCCTGTCCGAGGCTGGCGAGTTCCAGTTCGAGACTGACGCTGGCTCCGAGCTTGACGGGCGGAGCTCTTCGAGCAGCACGTGCGCCGAACGATGTGTGCACGCAGATCATCCCGTCAATCGTCGGAAGGTTCAGAGTGCGAGGACTGGGGTATCATGCCACTATCGGCATCGTAGAGGCCAAGTACGACTGCTATGTTTATCAGAGTTCGAAGCAAGCCAGCAGGAGCTAGGTAGCATCAGCAAGGTTCACTGGGTAGCATCATTCAGCGGGCCAGGACAATCCCAGAAATCATAGGCGATCCAAACGGAGACGCATCAGCGAACACCATTCCAGCGGCACCATTTCGAGTTCAATTGCGGCTGCATCCTCCACGATGTCCACGAAATCGGCAGCTGCGCCGGCCCACGACGCGAACGACTTCGCGGCCCGTTGGAGCGCTGGCCAGCCAGCCATGTGCAACATGTCCGAAGGAGATCCTCCTCGGGACGATGAGCGAGCAGACGCCGACTGCTTCCCGCCCGACAGCGATCAGTGCGATGAGGCCTCCCGAGCTGCAGGCAGAGGCGGCGTCCTACGAACTAGATGTGCAAGGAGCTGCGGTAGACCGGCTGCGCGCCATCCTGCGAGCTTTCCGAGGCGAGGGACCCGAGAACCGAGCCCGGGAGCACACCCCTGGCTCGAGGAAGCAGATGCCCGGGCCCGAGCTACAGGCGCCGTGCACCCAGCAGGGGATCCACTGCGGCCCGGGGACGACGGTGCCAGAGCTGCGACGGGCTGGTGAGTCGAGGACGCGATCAACGTGCCCGGCCCTTTGGCGGCGCCTGGTCCACGTGCCAATGGGGGGCAGTGCCATGTGCCTCGGCACGTGCCCGCCGGCCCGGCCCGCCGCCGGGTTCTCGAGAACGGCCTGGGACACTGGCAGTGGGCGGTGCTCGGGCTGCACCACGGGAAGGGCGTCGGCGCCTCTGGCGCGCTTCGCCTGGCGCGTCAGGGCTCGCGGATTGTGCCACCGGTGCCGGCGGAGTGAGGTGCCCGGCCTCTCTCGAGAAGCGCGCGGTGCTTGCCCGGGGGAGGCATGCCCGGCGCCGCCAGCGATCACCAGGGGCGCGGGCAGGTGGAGGCGGGGCAGCTGGGCAGGCGTGAGGCGCTCGCGTCTTGTGACAAACGCGAGATGGACACGAGCACGAGCGACGGTTTCGAGACTATACTATCCTGGGAGCAGGCCGATCGGATCGGGGCCGAGGCGCACGGGCGTCGCGGCCAGCCGAGCCGCAGCCCAGCGCCCAGCCGACGCTGGGCGGCAACAGTCGCCAGAAGTCCGGGCACAACGTTAAGTCGGGCGTGTCCCCCCACAAGGGGATTTTCGACGAAAAAAAAAGACCCCCAAAATAGTCAACAAAAATAATCCAACCAAAAATAGTCAGGGGATTATTTTTGGAGTATTGTTTGACCTTTTTGGGAGTGTGTTTGGAGTATTTTTTATTTTTCGTTGGAGATCCCCCTGTAGGGGGGGACGCCCGACTTAAGCACAACGGCGAACCGCAACCACAGTTCGATTGCTCGGGAGCGCCCCTCAGGGGAGAGCCCATTGACCTCGACATGAGCGCTTTGGTTGTGGTTGTGGTCGACCTGGCCGTCCTGGGGCGCCACATCGACCACCACCAGTGCCGAGCCGGTTTCGGTGTTCCGACGATTCTTGCCATGCGCAAGATATCCGCCAGGGTGTCCTCGATGTGGTTGTGGTCTCATGTTGTCCCCGCAAATTGGTAAAACACGGCTAGGACTTGGATAAATCGCTCCAGAGCGTTCCGGAGTGCTCTCAGAGCGTTCCGGAACGCTCTGGAGCGGCCGCGGCGCCCAATACATCCTCCAAACCCGCCGATTCTCAGAGATTTCGAGTTATCCCGATCCGATTTTGTCCCGATCTTCGTGTGGTTTTACAGGGATCGACGGAGTGTGCGCGCCTCGATCCTTGCGCCCCCCGTCGAGCCCCTTGCGCTGCCGCTGCCGCAGACGGGGCTGGCGCCGGCCACCCATCGCGGCGAGGCGACGGGAGCAGCGGCGACCGCGGGAGGCATTCGTGGCTTGTGGCAGCTGCGCTACTTCCGAGTCGGCTGCTGCGGGGCCCTCGACTGATCGATTTTCAAGATCGTGCCCAAAACTGACATCCCGACGATGATTTTGAAAAGCCGCCTCGAACTTCCCAAACCAGCCTATTTCGAGCCCAGCGGGCAAGCATCGAGGTGTTCGGGGCGAGGCCCCGCGGGGGGGGGGTGGACAACCTTCGCCTCCATACCAGAGAGCTGGGGGCTGCTGGCGAGAGGTGCGGACGGAGGGGCGACCGGCGACCCCAGGGTCCAGCATCCGACGGGGCGGGAAGTCTGCCGATCAGACAGGACGAGGCCGAGCCTCCTAAGGTTGGAGAGGCAAGCCGCGCATGGCACAGTCCACCCCTGGTGAGACAGCAAATGACATGGACCTGTGCTTTCGCCCGCGCAGGCACACGGCAGGAAGCTGTGCTTTCGGCCTGCGTGGGCGCGGGCTCGGGGATCCGGCCGCCCCAAGCCGCTCCACCAGGCAGTCTCGAGCAGCCACGGCGCTCGGCGCCGCAGCTGTTCTTGACCACCTGTTCGTCGCGGGTCGCGCCATGCCAGGACCTCGTCTCGGAGCCAGGTTTTTTTTTCTGCAGGCGTGATCCGGGCCTGGGCGGCTGGCGCCAAGACGGCGGAGGACCAGGAGGAGGAAGAGGAGGTGGAGGAGGATGAGGAGAAGAAGGACCAGGATGGGGGAGGAGCAGGTGGGGATGTGGCGCAGAGAGGAGCAGGAGGAGCAGGAGGAGTTTGTGTTGGCCTCAGGGGATCGTTTTCTCTTGCTGCTTTATTCGATCGGTCCCTCATGTCAGGCTGCTCAGGATGTGCCAGCCCACGCTGATGCCGTACACGGGCAAGGGCGGACATTTTGCCTTCCACCCAGTCAAGAGGAAACCTGTCAGGAAGAAGTGAGCGCACGTCCCATCATGCTCCCTGTCTTCCTCTCCTCCCGCCATTTGCTCCTCCTCCTCCTCCTCCTCCTCCCTTCTTCCTCTTTCCTCCTCCTCCTCCTCATCCTCACTTCCCCCGACTGCACCTCATCCTCCCCGTCCTTCAGAAGAGGAAGAAGTGGACCGACCATCCCTGCTCTTTGTAGATGACTCTTCCTTGTAGCACCATTCGACGTGTCCGTAGGCCGGCCCGGGCTTCTTGCTTGAGACGTCTTTTCAACACGCTGTGGGGATTCTTCTATCGGTCCCTGCTCCCTCGTCCCTGGTATTCTTTTTCTGTCTCTCTCTGTCTATCCCTTTCTTTTTTCCGTTCTCTCTCTCTCTTACATTTTTTTTTTTTCTCTCTCTCTCTCTCTCTTCCTCCCTTTCTATCTCTCTCTCTCTCTCGCTTTCTCTTTTTTGCTTTCTGCTTTCTATCTCTCTCCCTATTTCTCTGTATTTCTCTCTTTCTGTCACTGTGTTTTGTTTTCTCTCTCTATCTCTCTCTCTCTCTCTCTCTTTCTCTTTTTTCTTCTCGTCCTTCTTCTCCCCCTTCCCACCTGCTTCTGCCCTCCCTCTCGCTCGTGCTCCTGCTCGTGCTTCTGCTCCCACTCTCGCTCCCGCAAGACTGAGCGCGCCGCCATTTTTCCGTGGGGCTTGCCGCGAGCTCCGCTGTCCAGGTGGCCGAGGGTGCAGCCGACTCATGTCCTTCCCAATTCGGTGGCCACATGTGAACCCTACCCCGACCCCCCACGTTTTCTTAGGGGGGGTGGGGGTGCACTTCGTTCGGGAGCTCCCGAGCGGAGTGACGCCCCACTCCCCCTTTGAAGTCGTGGCGGGGGGGGGGGGTCGTGTTCCCATGTGCCCACCTACCAGTGTCACTGCTCGGAAAAAAGAAGAGCGGCCTAAACATACATTGTCGACGGTCCGCGCGTATTTCTCGAATCTGCGTTGGACCCCCTGGCGTCGCTTTCGGCGCCACCGCGAGCGCGCTTCGCGCCAGGGAGGGGGGTCCAGCGCGGATCCAAGAAATCCGTTCGCACAGTGGAAGTTTATGTTGATGCTGTTTTAGTTCGCCGCCTCCGCTGCGTCCGCCTTCGTCGCTGCCACTGCCGCTGCTGCTGCTGCTCTTCCTGCCCCATCGTGTGTTGCTGATCGGGGCCGTCTTCGTGCTCCGCTGCCTGCCAGGGGGGTTGAGCAAACAGGGAGGTGATAATGGACGCAGGAAGGGGCCCTTTGATCCTCGAAGTTCTTGGGACGGGACCTGCTTGTCTGAGGTCGAGAACTTGTGCTTACAGTCGCATGTCGCGCCGCCGGTTCTGGCCCACCACGACGCGCTGATCATGTCCTCTTCCCCAAGCGTCAGCGCCCCGAGCTTTTCCCAGCCTCCCGCCACACGCAGCAGAGCGACACGGTATCCGCTTCCAGGGCATAGCGTGTCGTCGGGGCCGCCGCCGCGACACGTGAAACAATTATTCCCGACCGTGGGCCTTGCTGTCGTTGACGGTGTGAGACGGTGCAAAAAGTCACACGCTCGGCGTTTGCATGTTGTTGCTCCTCGTCGTTGTCGTCGTCGGCTTCCTGCTCTTCTGGTGTCGATGTTCCCCTGGTTTTCTTTCTCCTCTCCTTCTTCCCTTCCCCGGCTCATCTTCTTCCCCCTCAGCCTCGCATACTCCCTCATCTCTTCCACATTCTCCTCCCTCTTCCTCCTTTGTGTCCCGCCTGCTTTTCCTTGACCGCACTCCTACGTCATGGAGTTCAAGAGTGACCCGCGCTGTGCAGGGCCGAGCGCGCAACATGTGCCTCGGCGCGCGACGAGACACCCGAGGGAAGGTTCTATTTATTTGCATCTGGTTTGACCCAAGATGGAGCGAACTTGTTTCGCAGTTCGTAGCCCGAGCTAATGTTGCTGTCTCTCTCTGGCTGACATGTGTATTCGCTGCGAGGGTGGTACGGGATACCCGCAGTGGCAATGCGGATATTTCCTCCAATAACACGCGCACTATAGACGGCAATGGGTGAAATTTCAGGCTTGCCTGGTGGCATACCGTGACACGCTTGCGTGTCAGCCGCAGCGGTGAGATGCCAGCCCGCCAGGTGCGGTCGAACACCCCGCGCACGCGCACTTGGACGCCGCTCAGACGCTCGATGCTTTGCATGTGGACTCTTGCACGGCGTCGCCTCGTGCTGGCCCCACCCTCCCTCTCCCCTCGCCGGGGGCCCGCCCCCTGGGACCCCCAGGGCTCTTGGCTCCGCCTCGCCCCCCTCTCCCACCTCGGGAGGCCGTCCCAGGCTGTGCCCACGCGCCTCGGCGCCCCCTGCCCCCTTTTGCTTGCTCTCCTTGCCTCACCTGCCGGCGTCTGCCTGCAGGGCGGTGCCCGCGCTCGGGTGGCGCCGCGTTGCTTCCTGCGCTCCCTGGGGCCGCCTGCACGGCGGTCGCATGTCGACCGGCAGCCGCGGTGCCTTGGTCTGTCGAGGTGTACCCACCTGTGAGGACCACGCGAGTGGGCCAGACCGCACGATTTCGCGGCACCGCTGTGCTGTGAGGAGCTGTCACAGAGACCCTGCGGGATGCGCTGGTCGCTCTCCTTCTGCGCCTCCCGGGCGTACAGCAACAGGCTGTCGGTCGGTGGGCATGCCACGCTGCAGCTGCAGACCAACTTTGAGTTTTGGCCAATTGCCCGATCTGAGCGGAGGCTGCCCTTTCAGAGCTCCTCCTCCGTAGACGCTGTTGAATTGACCACAGCAGACCTAATTGTATTTTCGCGTTCCAACTGGCAGTGGTATGACGAGGGGGGAGGGGAGAAGTGGCGAGGTGTCGGTGACGCTCACTGGTGCCTCTCGGTGGCTTCATTGTGTGCCTGGATTGTTCGTGTTCCAATGTGCGCGAGGGAGTATGCAAAGTGGCGTGTATGACTGGCTGGTTGATGATAACAGTTGGGAATGCAAGATTGGCTGAATGATTTGCAACCGGGATGGGGACGTGCTCCGTTTTACGAGTGCCAAGTGGTATTGCCAGGATTTGGCTTCTTGTAGGGCGTTCGGTCAGCTGTTCGTGCTGATCCCTGGTTCCGAACTGTGAGATGCGAGCACATCGCACACCACCAGATGGGCCTCGCAGACTATTGCAATCTTCCTAGGATTGCTTTTGCCCTTCCGTTGAGTGGTGCCTGTTGGGCGAATGCTTAGTTTCTCAGTCTCCATCACCGCGAAACTCCTGGTACATTTTTTCCAGACCGCGCACGTGCCAAACAGAGTTCATATCAGAACCGTTTCCGCAAGGCTGGCTCGACATGCTTTACGACATATTATTACAATAATGTCCCTGAGCGCATGCACGGTATGACAAGGCGTCAACGCACGATGTTATACTGAGCCGTAGCTCCTAAATGCCATTTGTATCTAATAGTATTACCATGTTGTAAGTCGTTGCGCGCTTGCCAACCAGTCTGATCAAAGGCTGCCCGAACCGTTCCGCAGAGACTGGACCCGTAGCTGCAGAGGAAGTTTGCGTTCTCGTTCCATCACTGTTCCATCGTTTCCTCCTCCTCCTCCTTCTCTTTCTCCTCCTTTCACGTTTCCCTCTATATTCACCGATGCTCCTCTCACGTCCCTCTCCTCAGTTGTTTGTTTCGTATTATACATAACTTCTCCCTTTCGCACGCCAAGGTTTGTTTTTAGGGTGGACTGGGCGTTTTGCTTGAGACGTCCTTACTGTTTATGACCCTGAAGCTTAACACGTAGTAGCAGTTTCACGGATTGGGGGCGGGTCGTTTTTAAAATGTGGCTCTCGCCTTAGCGCCGCGCATGTTCGGTTTCCACAATTGCAAAGGGTTTCACGGATTAGGGGCGGGTCGTTGTCAACATGTGGTTCTCGCCTTAGCGCCGCGCTCATTCGCAACAGTTTCACGGATTGAGGGTGGGTGGTTTACAAAAATGTGGTTCTCGCCTTGCGCCGCGCTCATTCGCTTTCAACAGCTGCAAGAGTTTCACGGATTGAGGGCGTGTCGTTTTCAAAATGTGGTTCTCGTCTTGGCGCCGCGCACATTCGTTCTCAACACTTGCAAGAGTTTCGCGGATTGAGGGCGGGCGGTTTTCAAAATCTGTTTTTCGTTTTGGCGGCGCGCACATTCGTGTTCAGCATTTGCAAGAGTTTGACGGGGTGAGGGCGGTTCCTTTTCAAAATGTGGCTCTCGCCTTAGCACCGCGCACACTCGTTATACACAATTGGAAAAGTTTTACGAATTCCCGTGATCAGCGTACCCGACATGGTGTCCTGGAAGGATTCAGGATTGTGAGGGCGCCATATTTATGTTGATTCGTGCTGTTGGAATGGCGTTCTTGCGCGGTTCAAGATCGTCAAGGCGCAACAATCAGGTTGATCCGTGGCGTTGGAGTCCCGAGGATAATGTTTTGGCTTTCTTTAGGGCCTTCAAACCGCTGTCTTCCATCGAGGCAGTTCCTTTAGTGGATCCGAAACGTTGTAGGGGCCTATGTAAAGGGAGCTTGGAGGGAGGGTTTATTTCAACATCGCGGATGACTCTTGGGTTTACACTGGTCGTCGTCGTCCTTCCTCTCCCCCTCGTCTTGCTTCTCCCGCTATGCGCGTGCCTCGGGCGATCACAGGCCTTGCGGTGCCCACGGGGCTCATGCTCGCAGGGGCCCGCCGTGCCCACAGGGCCTGCGGTGCCACGGGGCCCCTGGTGCCCAGGAGTCCCTTGGCGTTCCGAAGCGTGGCCCACGCTGCTCGTGCAGCTCCCGCGGTTCCGGTCCCCGCGCGGCCCACGTGCCTTCTCATGCGGCCCCTGCGGCTCGTGTGGCCCATCGGGCCCCCGCTTGCTCACCGCGCACCGCGCGGAGCCTGCGGCCCGTGTGGCTCATGGCATGCAGGCAGCTGGCGCGATGGAGCGGGCGATCCTCCACGTGGCTCCGAGGATCGGAATCTGCCAGTGGGTGGGTTTGCAAGGGCTGGCCAGGGCTGGCTGCGGGGCTGGCTGGGGTGATCCTCGGATGTGTAGGCCTTCTCTCAACGTTGGGTGGTCCTCCCTCCCAGCGGTCGTCCGAGCGTTTTGGCTCAG